CAATCAAGCAACGCCGCTTAAATGCTTCTCCCCTGTGTCAAATGTCGCTGTCTAATGTTTGTTTAACGACTCTACTTAAACGCAAGCCAAGGCAAAAATGAAGCTAACAGTTAGGCTAACACGACTACGGCATGCTCTACCAAATGTATATATTGTAGAAGACTAACTAACTATAATGTATGTAAATATATCATTTAGCTTTACAGGGTATTAGTGTATTGGTATTGCCTCAGAAAAACTCAATATTATTTTCTCTAGTCCTTCGGAAATACATATAGCTCTACGGGGTATTGGCGTAATGGTAATGCTTGCAAGTAAAATCGTATTTATTGTACTTTCATAGTCAGCACATTACACAGCTTGAACTACTACTCTCTATAACAGTTACAGGGTATACACAATTCGATCTAAAAACATTAGCTTTATATATAAACGAAAATGAACAAAAGTTAAATAACATTTGCTTGTGATTTTGTTTTTTTTTTTTTGTTTTTGTGTTCGACTCGTTGCGCTCGTTTTGTGTCGTCTGCCTGCCTGCATCATCATCAACAAATAAACCAACCAACCCACCAAAACCACCCACAACACAACCCAAACTCATGTAGACACAAACAGCACGCATCATCAGCAAGAACAGCGTAGCCAGCAACATCCGCAGCAACATTCGCAGCAACATCTGCAGCAACATCAACAACAGCAGTTGCAGCAACATGCGCTGCTGCTTCAGCAACATCAGCAGCAGCAACAGCAACATTGCCAGCAACATGCATCTCAGCAATATGTTGCTATGGATGCGGGTGCCGTTACTTTGTCAAATTTGAAAAAGCAACGTTCGCTGTCGCGCACCGCCAATGTGCTTAATAATTTCGAGCTTTCATCCACAAGTGCTGGCGCTAGTGCTGCTAATGCAAGCACTGCTACATCAATAACAACAACAACTAATGGTTCTGTTTTAGGAGCCGCCACTACGGTTAATCACAACAACAACAATAACAACACAAGCAGCGCCAACAACAACAACAACAACATGGCCGCCGGTCCGATCGCTACGCAGCCACTGGGACTGGGCGCAATGAGTCCCAGCTTATTGGACTTTGAGTCAGCTGCGCCAGTGTCTACATCTGGCAACGCCAATTCGGTTAACAAGTTCTGTGGCAACACTGGCGACGTGGTCAGCGACAGCACGAGCTCCAGTCGCAAATGCTGTGTGCTAATGTAGACGGCCAATGCAGCAGCGGATAACAGGGTATTATTACAATGAATTGCCAGCCGGTTAAGCTTACCAACAAACTGTAATAGTTTAGAGAAAGAATGTGTGATTTTTTGTATGTATGCAAGTATGTGTGTGTGTGTAAATGGGGGGCGGGAAACGAGAGAAGAATCAAACAAACAAATTAGCAATTTTGAAATGCCTGGCAAAAAGTGTCTTTTATTAGCATTTTAGTAGAAAAAGAAAAACAAAAGAAAAAAAAAAAAAACAGTTCAAAACATTAAAATTGTAAATGGAAGCAGGGTGCTCAATTCTATGAGCTCCATATTTGACTAAAACAAGAAAACGACTCAAAGTCGTGGCATTTTCCTAAGCCAGCAAATATACGGTATATGTAGAGTATATATATGTATATATATACACGATTTAGGTTCAGAAAATAAATACAGCGCAAAAAAGAGAAGAAAACAAATGAAATTGAACCGAAATTGAAAGTAAACCCAAAACTTGATGTTAAGTAGTTTTTAATGTTAAGAACTTCTGTTTTTTCTAGTTCTTTAACTTTTGCTTAAAAACTATATAAAAAAGGATAAATGTATGGCAAGGCAAAGTATTATGCAAGAGTATAAAAAAAGAAACCAATATACATATAAATATATAAATAAAGATAATAATAAAACATATGCTATTAGCGCAATTGTAGCTACATGAAATGGAAATCAAAAATAATAATTATAATAAAAAGCAATAGACAAATTGCCAACAAGCAATTTAATAATAAACAGTTAAACATTTCATATATTATATAAATGTGTGTACATTATACATCTAAATGTCAAAAAAATTGAACTTCCAATTATAATAATAATAAAACATGAACTAAATTTGTTTTTATAATATAAATTGTTTAAACTAAATTAGGTATTTGCAAAACTTTCTTTGCGCTGCGTGATTTGAATTTTAGTTTACTGTCAAATTGTATTATTTAAACAAATAATTTACACAGTTTTTAACATATATACATATGTAATATATTGATGTATGTATGTATGTATACGAAATTCCAGTTAAGCAAACAACGCGCAATTTAGCAATGAGACTTTCTTTGATTTAGTCCAAGGCAAAATTTTGTAAAATAAACAATTGACAAAAAAAAAAAACAAATGAAATAAAAATATATAAATGATTTGTCTCTTTTATATTTAGGTGTTTACAATACAACACCCAACTCCCATTTATTATTCTAGATTTATAATATATTTTAATTAGTCTACTAATAGAAGCCTCGCCTTCTGTGCCTGCTCTTCCTGGCGTCTAATCCTCTTGTCCACCACATGACGCAGACGACGATCGGGCTTGACCAGCTCGCTCTCATCCATGGGCTCAATAACTTGACCCTTGCGTGTGATGACCGCTGGACGTGTGAGCATACGGAAAGCTGTTTCAGGCACAAAATCGCGTCCAATGGGCGTACGAATGCTGGCCTCATAATCGGCCAGAGATTTGAATGGAAATGGTATGCTGGAGACGCGATGGCCGCGTGCTTGTTTGTTGCTCGCCTCATTTATATAGACATTGTCCTTGTTGTCATCGCGACGCTTCTCGGGCTCCGCCAACTTGAGAAGCAGTCGCTTGTTGCGTCTTTCCAATGCCTTTTGCGATATGCCAGCGCCTCCCCAACAGCCCCAGCCTGGCATCGCCAACTGCAGTTCATTGTTCTTCACTTCCGAGTCGTCTTGCTTATCCTTGTTGAAATCAGCTACAATATCATCATCCTCAAAGGCCTCGCTAATAAGCATTTGGCGTTCTGCCTTAGGATCGACTTCATCGAATTCGGCTGCATCGTCGTCAGCCAAAGCATCGTTCATCCCATTCGTGAGGCGCAATTTTTGTTTCCAGGTTACGGAGACTATCTTGTCGGGATCAATATCTGCCACTTCAGGTGTTGATTTCTTTTCTTCTTTCGATTTTTGTAAGTCGTTAACAGCTTCTATAGCTGTTAACGCTTGTTTAGATGCCACTTCATCCTGATTGAGTGGCTCATCGATTTCCACACGTTGCTTAGTCTTCTTGAATGTTAAATCTTTTAAGTTTTTCAGTGCATCATGTTTTATCTTCGGTTTCTTCGATTTTTTTGTCACCCCTTTCAGTAATGCTGCTTGCTTTTTTAGTTTATCTAACTTATGGTTTATCTGATTGTGTAAATTATCCTGTTGCGCATCGAAAATTTCATCTAATGTTTTAGATTTAGTTGTGGCTTTATCAGGTTCCTCAACTTCCTCAACCTGCCAACCATTTTCCATAATAATCCGGGGCTTTTTCTTTTTTGGTAACTCTTTTATGGCCTGCGTAGTCTGCTGCCGCTTCTTACGCTTGACCTCTTCCACTTGAGCACTGTGTTCAGCAAGCCGTTTTTCATTTTCATTACGCTCTGTCCAATACTTGCGCCAGCTGACATCGTCTTCCTTAGCTTTGGACTCATCATTTTCAGTTGGTTTCACTGTCATCCATGGATTGAATGGATCGAAAGACCCTTCGGCACTTGTTTCTATTTTGTCCGTTGTCTGATTTTCATCCTCGCTATCCGTATCCACTTTTTTTTCAGTCAACTGGCGACTTACTGCCAATTGTTCGGCAAGATCTTTGCGCACCTCCTTATCGTATTTAGCGCGCATCTGCAGGTTCTTGGCCCAAGTGCCCGTGTTTTTGTGTCGTAAGCTTGCGCGTTCCAGCAACCGACTCTTCTCCAAGGCATTTAGTTTCTCCAGGGCAGCTTCCGGATTGGTCTTTTTCAGTATCTCGAATTGCTTTACTTGCTCTAATACTTTTTGACGCTTCAGCAGCTTATGATATTTCTTGGATTTTATCTTATTTTGCATGCGAGCTTTAGCCGACTTCTGAGACTCGCGCATTCTTAAATACGCCAGCTCGCGACGCCGTGCGTGTAGCTCATCACGAGTTGCTTTCTGGGCCAACAGCTTCTCCTCCAGTTGTGCCAATTCCTGCTCATCAGTATTGTCCCCGATCTGTGCCTTGCGTAAGTCATTCAGCTTCTTAATGCTTGCTTGAAGTTCTTTGCCTAGCTCGGATTTAATGCTCGTCTTAATGGCGTTTGCATGGGCCGCTGTATTTACGTAAACCGTTTCCGATGGTATGGGAAATATCTGCAAGAAATCGGCTGTCTTTAGTTTTTTACAATATCGCTATCATCACTCACCTGAGTTTCGGCAGAGCGCTGTTTAGCTACGACAGCATCCCAGCGTGCAAGTTTCTTCTTAACACCTTCGTAGCCAATTGTTCGCTTGATGCGATCAGCAACCGGCTTCTCCAGTGGCTTCTGAAGGACCTTTTTGGTGTTGTGCACATTTTTCAGCTTCTTGCCTGTTTCAATGTGCTTGGAAGTGCGCAAGATTTGAACCAAATCGTTCACACCCACGGCCTTAGGTGCGTGCTCTGTTGCTTTGGCACTCTTGAACAACTGAAACTCATTCTGTTCCGGCTGGCGCTCGTCGCGTGTAGATTTGCGGATATGTTGCACATTGCCCAGGTTACTAATGGACTGCAGAAGCTTTTTATGTGCAATTGGATCATACTGTTCTTCATCGTCACTCATATTGGATAAGGAAGGCAAAATGATAGTTCAACAATTTAATTTAAACTGAGCTGTTTTACGAAACACGCGGTGGCAGAAACAGCTGTTTGTCATCAAGAATTCGTATTCACAATGGAAAACTATCGATATCGTTCTATTCAAAATATGCTAGTCGAGTAAACAGTAAAGTTTATATTATATTATTATATAACTGCAATAGTTTAGATTTAATGATTCCATGCTGCATGCAGCATAGAGATTTTTTGGAATATTCAATTTTTAATCTCATATCAGAATATCTTACATATTAATAGCGATAGCAATCACTAACTCGATAACTCCCAATATTGTTATCAAAGGTAAAATGCAAGAAATCGATTACCGGCACGATAACGACTTACACACAGACGCGAAATTGTTAAACAAATACGGGCTCATCGTTCCATGGCCGATACAAAATCCGGCCGTCATGCAAGCACCAGCGCTGCAACTCCACTGCTCGTGCAGAGCCCCGAGAACCTGGAATGCAAGAACTTTCAGGAATATCTGCGCACCCGCCAGACACCTGAAACATTGGAGAAACTCTACACTTATCCACCCATTTGCCTAGCTGTCTACCGCGAGCTGCCCGAAGTCGCAAGACAATTTGTCATTCGTATGCTGTTCGTAGACCAACCCGTACCACAGGCTGTTGTCAGCTCATGGGGCGCCCAACGTGTGGCCAAGTAAGTAAGGAACACAATCGTTGCTTACAACCAAATCATGATTTGCCCTCCCTTGCAGGGAGCAACTGGATTCAACTAACTGCTTGTCTGCCTTATCTGTATGGCGTGTGACAGCCATACCCGGTGGACTACCTGCCTGGGAACTAACACCCACATTTAAGAAGAGCGTGCGCCAAGTGTTGTTAGGTGGAGGAAAGCCCTGGGCAATCACCAATTCACTCGAAAGGGACGCCAAGCCACGGGATGTTGCATTCCTTGACTCGTATGCCATGTCTCGGTGGCGTTGTGTGCTGCATTACATGGTGGGTACGGGCAATCGAAATAACATCGAAGCTGAGGCCATCAGTCCAGATGCCGTACGTATTCTACTCCATGCTAATCTTATGAAGCGCGATGAGCGGGAAGGCATTACCATTACACGTCAAGGATTTCAGTTCCTGCTGCTGGACACACGAGCCCAGGTCTGGCATTTTATGCTGCAGTATCTAGATACGTGCCATGAACGTGGCCTGGTCTTGGCCGATTGCCTGTCTATGCTCTTTCAATTGAGCTTCTCTACGCTGGGTCGCGACTACAGCTCTGAGGGCATGAACAAGCAGATGCTGATGTTTCTCCAGCACCTGCGGGAGTTCGGCCTGGTATTTCAAAGGAAACGCAAGGAGCATCGCTTTTATCCCACGCGACTAGCGTTAAATGTAACAAACAAGGAAGCGGCAGAAGCCTCAATTTCGGCGGATGAAGAGCGCATGCAGGAGCGAGGCTACATTGTGGTGGAGACCAACTATCGCGTATATGCCTACACAGACTCTCAGTTGCAGGTTGCTGTGCTGGGCCTTTTCACCGAACTTCTCTATCGGTTTCCCAATCTCGTGGTGGGCGTGCTCACCCGAGACTCTGTGCGTCAAGCGCTGCGAGGTGGCATTACGGCCGAGCAAATAGTCAGCTATTTGGAGCAGTATGCACATCCCAACATGAAATTGGTTGAGTCTGCAATTCAATCAAAATCCTGCCTGCCACCCACGGTCGTGGACCAAATCAAACTGTGGGAAATGGAACGCAATCGTTTCACCTACACCGAGGGCGTTGTCTACAATCAGTTCCTCTCTCAGAATGACTTCGTAACGCTGCGCGACTACGCCCAATCCCTGAATGTGCTGGTCTGGCAAAACGAGCGGACCCGGACCATGGTCGTGCAAAAGAATGGACACGACGATGTCAAGCGCTATTGGAAAAAGTACTCAAAGAGCGCCGGCTAACGCCAAACCATTCTACTTCGTATTTAAGCAAATCATTTAATTTTACAAATATGCTAAGAGCGCGCTTGAAAGCAGTTGCCCTTTGTAACAAGCCAAATTCAAAATGTTATTCAGGACAGCTGCGGACACATTCAATAATTAAATGGAATACCTCTATCAAAATCTATATACACATATAAACATATACATATTTAAGCAGCAGGTTTGATTGGGCAAGCCTGAATTTAGCTGGAAATTTAACTCAATATCGACTAAACCAGTTTATAATAAATAATATATATGTATATGTATGTATATGTATATATAATAATAATAATAATGATAATAATAATAATAAATTACAAAACAATCATTCAACATTACGAAACATTAAAGCTTGGGAGATATGAATTCTTTAAATGCAAAGTTGGAACGTTTAATATAAAATCGGACGCTGCGGCATACAGAGATTATAGTAGCTCTTCTTATCCCAAAAGTCCAAGCCCTTCCACCCACACCAGCCCTTAATCTGTATGGTGGCCAGATCATCGGGTCCAGTATAATGGGGATCGAGTATCAAGAACTTCGCCTGACCCGTCTGCACACAGTAATCCACGCCGATTATTGTGTGTGCAAGCACTCCGCCCCCGATCATAACCGGCGTGCCCTGCGTTTGGAAATGCATGGCCAGCTCTGAGGCGATTGTCGAGAGCTCGGCACCAGACGCCACGTGCAATATCTTCGAATCCACATTTAAGAATCCCTGCAAGCACATGCTCAGCTCTGTGGAACCAATCCACTGTGACGAGCCCACAAAAGAGGCCGGCTTGTCGTTAATTTTGTGCAAGTATTCCTGTATCTCCAGGTGAGTGGGTATTGGACGTTCAGTGTAGCCCTGTAGCAGGAACCAGGAGCAAATCGTTTGCAACGAACGATAGGCACAGCCCCAGCCCTTGTCCTGCACCTGCTGTTGCAAATAGTGATAGTAATGATAGTTCCCGTTAACCAGGTATTCTTTGCCATCAGTCACACCACTGGGCCGTACACCCAGGTGTGTATTAAGCAACGGCGTCCAGGTCGCTGAATCAACAGCATCTATTTCGTCTTGGAAGCGACACTGGTTAGCCCGTCTGAAGTACGGTCGCGTGGCAGGCAATGCGAACTGGCGATGGAGTCGCTTGCGTTTCTCCTGCACACTAGGCTCATCATCGCCCAGTTGCTCCAGATAGGCACAGCTCAAAAAATGCCCAAATTCCTGTGGATAAAAATGATAGGTTCGTGGCGACAGCAGCTTAACCTCCGACGTTGTTTCCTGCTCGGTAAGTCGCTCTATGAGGCATTGCTCAAAGAGGCGCAATGACCGGCAAATACTCTCTATAAGCACATCGTACAAGCGTAGCAGTTTTGTCTTCTTGCAGAGTATGGCCATTGCTTCCAGTTCCAAGGGCACCTCTTGCTTAACGGTATCCTCATTTGTGATGCACACACTCAATGCTGGATATGGCAGGGAATCCCCAGCTCCAAAATCGCGTGTGCGCGAGCGCAACACATCAATATTGATCACATCGTAAGCACAGCCAACAGCGCCATAATACTTGGCCAAATCGGGTGCGGCAGCAGCTTTCTTTTTCTTGTCGCCGCTTGCAGCTTCTGTCGGAGTGGGAATCTCAGCGATTAACTGCTCAATGAGCGAATCGCAGTTGAAGCTCTGATGCTGTATGCCACTGTTGCTGCTCACGTAGATCTTGGTATGTGCCACGTTAAAGACCAAATTGCCATCGGCCACACGCTTCCGGAGCGCATGCATCTCCTTGGCTATAGCCTCCGGAGTGGGCAATGTGTGCAAGAAGAATCCACACTTCAATCGTGTAAAACAAAAGTCATTGTACAGCTGCGCGGCCTCCACGACTTCAAACGGCACATTCTCCAGTTTACCATGTATAAAAAAGGATGCACGCAGTCCCACAAGTGTGCCCAGTTGACATTGAAGCAGGATCGGATTATCCGTTATGTCCACCGATGAGATGATCTCGTTAAGGTGAGCTTCTGTATCAGTGCAGTCGCCAAATTTGACCAAACCACATAAATCCAGTTCGGCTGGGAATTTGTGCTGTATTTGTTCATAGTTCAGTTGACCCACACTTGACTCAACGTTAAAGCTCAATAGCAGCAAAGTGCTCTCTCCATAAAATACGCCGTATAAACAACCACTGCACTGCAGCTTAACGCGCTCCAGTCGCTTCAAAATACATTAACAAATCACACAGAGATCATCAGCATACATATAAATAGCTTACCTTGAGAAGAAAAGCAGATATTCTCAATTTGGGAAGCATTTTTCAGAAAACTAGGCGTGAATTTATAGTATTTACGTACAAACTGCACAGCTGGCAAGTGTGTCATCGATAGACGTAGACGTGTTATCGACTGTAAACTGCACATAGACCATTTAATCGACAGCAGTGTGACCGTACTGCGCAATATATATGCATTAATGGCGCTGAGCTTAAGACATTCAAATATTTGTTTTGAAGCATTTGAATACACACACAAATAACATTTATTTAATGCAATATATATATATATATATATACATATATATATTGATATCGGCAAAGATTATAGATTTGCAAAAAACGTTTGAGTAATTTGAACCATGCAAGCGATTTTTTTGTTATTTACGCATTTTATCATTACTTTTTAGTAAGCCGTTACCAGCTCGAGCCGTTTTCTCGGGCTTTTCCTTTTTCCTTACAAGACTTTAATTCTATCAATGTTATACATTTATATACAAATACAATATTGATAATTGCATGTTGCCGCCATTACATTCCTAGTACATTCGCCATTTAATTGGAATATTTTGCATGTTTTATGTTTACTAATTTACAGTTTGTATTAATAATTTTGTAAGTTACGAGATACTACACACTACTATGTTTTTCACAATTTTCTAATTTTTTTTCTTCTTTTTTTTCTAATTTAAATACGTTGCTGCACAAAATCGGCATTCGAGCTTGCCAACACAATACACAATCCCATGAATACATTTATCAATTCAATTTGCCGCTGGCTATTGCTCACTCCTCCTAAGTTTCGTTCGATTAGTTTTGTTAATATTTTAAGCTGAACATTTAGGTAAGCTAAATATTAAAGTTAAAACAAAAACATCCAGTTCTGTGACGCTACTTCTTTTGCTTGGCAGCCAAAGTTGCGTCCGTTGTTGTTGGCGAAGCTGCAGATCCCTTGCCTGCTATTGATGATGTTATTGCTGTTGCTGACTCCTTGCGGAAATCACTGGCGCTTAATGGCCTAGTCGTTGTAATCGAAGATTTCTTAGATGTACTTATTTTGCCTAAGGTTGTAAATTAGAAATGAAATCAGTGATACATAAAGTATATCTTCCCCATAGGATAAACTTACCCAGTTCAGCTTTTCTGGCCTTGTCCGGATGATCGGTTTTTGATAATGGCTTTTCTAGTGTCTGCGACGGCGACGATGTCTCGCTCTCCCCATGCTCCTCAATGGCCGGCAAAAATATCTCCGATGCACTGCTACTGTCTTGTGTGCTAGTGGGCGAATCCTTCTCTTCTGCAATGCGTGGCAAGAGCTCACAGCTGTTGCTACCTATGGCTACATTGTTCGTTGCTTGATTATCAACTGAAGCTGTGGCTGTGCCACCAGCTGATGCTATTGGTAGTGCTGCTGAGCTCGTTTGCCTTTGAGATTCCTCAGTGCTGCTAATACAGCTCAACTGTTGTAGTTGTTGAGGTTGCTGTTGTTGTTGTGGCGGCTGCTGCTGCTGCGGCTGCTGTGCTCCAGGTGCAACACCTGCGCCTCCAGCCGGTCGCCATGTGGCCGCCACGACGCGCTGATGCTGATGGTGTTGCGTTTGCTGTTTTATGGGCGGTGAGCAGCAAAGTGGCGAAATTTTCGTCTCAGCGCTGCGTGGATGCAGTCGATCCGGTGACAAAGCGCGTCGCAGCAACGGCGAACTGGGCTCAGCGGATTTAGTGCGTGCAAAGCCAGCCTTCTTGGTGGTAGCACTCACGGCCGCCTGCAGCGTGGGCAGTGTGCTGCCTGGACTATATGACTGCGTGGTATTGGATGCGCCAGGCTGATGACCCACCAGAGGAAAGGCCAACGGCGATGGCGAGCGAGTGGGCGACGACGGCAAAGGCGACGGAGACGGTGTACGCGCTAAAGGCGACAGCGGTATGTGACCCACAGACTTGCGGCGATTGGGCAACGCATTGCTGCTCGAGGTGTGTAGAGTCTTTAGGCCGCTGCCAGAGGAGCCACTGGCAGTTGACACAGCAGCGCCGCTCGATGCAGCATGTAGCTTGTGCTTAAGACCATGCAGAGTAGAAGGGCGCTGATACAGCTGCGGTACAACGCCAGTGGGTGAAACTAAATAGGAAATCGATGATTAATATGAGTTGATGATAGCTGCATTAGATAAGGACTAACCAGGCACATTGCCCACAGAAGTGGCGCTGTTTCCCACAACGGCCCCCACATGCGGCAGCAACACAACTGGACTGGCCGGCGGCAAGGGCAGCTGCACACTCAAAGCTGTTACGGGTAGGGCAGCAATAGACTTGGCTCCGTTGCCATTGCCGGCGCCATTGCCCCCACTCGAACCGGTGGGCGTGTTGGGGGACGATGATGAGGGCGAAGTGGACTGCGATGATGAGTTAGCCGCCGACTGACAGCAGCTACTGTGATACGATGAGTCTAACGGCGACAGATTGCGCGCAGATGGTGTGGTGGGAGAGCTGGTGCCCGCCGAGTACTAAGAAGAGAATGAATAACATGAGAAATCAATAATCTGATAGTCTCTCTGCCCACATTTCACTCACCTGTTGCATTTCGGCATTTGCTCGCTTGCTGCTTATGCGCCGGAACAGCGACGTCTTACGTTTCTTGTCGTGCTCGCGCTTCGTCTGCTTCTTCTGGCGGTTGACGCCCTTCTTGGCCAGCTTGCTCTGCATGAGGTCACGCTTGCGACCACCGCTCTGTATGCTTGTGTGCTCCAGAGGCGTGGCACGCAGTGTCACATGCTCACCGCCACTCAGCAATAGCTGCAGCACCTGCGTGTGGAATAGGCCCTG